CCTCTCTCCAAACACCTGTGCGGCTGCCAGGGCAGGACCGGGTGTGGGGGGAGCACGGGAGCAGGGCTTGGGAAGCACCCCCAGCTCACCCACCACGGTGGGGGCAGCGCTGTGCTGCTCTGCTGCGCCGGGGGGGGAGCAGAACCTGCTCTGATTGTGCCGAATTGGGCCCTTTGGACAGGTGGTTGTGGAGCCCGTGGTACCCCCCTGACAGCAGGCTCGGATCCTGAGAGGCTCCTGCATCCTGGAATGGCAATTCCTGTCCCTCACCCGCTGGCAGTGCTGTGGGGCAGGAAGGGGTGGCAGGGATGCTCCAGGGCAGGGTGGGTCCAGGCAGTTGTTTCAGACAGGGGGGCAGGACTTTGCGTGGCTTGCAGACACAAAAACGTGGATCCCCAGCACAGGAAGGACAGGGATGTGTTGGAGAGAGTCCAGAGGAGGCCCTGGAGATGCTCCCAAGGCTGGAGCCCCTCTGCTCTGGAGCCAGAGAGCTGGGAGAGCTTGAGGATTCACCTGGAGAAGAGAAGGCTCCAGGGAGACCTGAGAGCCCCTTGCAGGGCCTAAAGGGGCTCCAGGAGAGCTGGAGAGGGACTGGGGACAAGGGATGGAGGGACAGGACACAGGGAATGGCTTCCCACTGCCAGAGGGCAGGATTGGATGGAATATTGAGAAGGAATTCTTCTGTGTGAGAGTGCTGAGGCCCTGGCACAGATTGTCCTGGGCAGCTGTGGCTGCCCCTGGATCCCTGGAATTGTCCAAGACCAGGTTGGATGGGGCTTGGAGCAACCTGGGCTGGTGGAAGGTGTCCCTGCCCATGGCAGGAAGTGGAATGAAATAAGCTTTAAGGTCCCTCTCAACCCAAAAAATTGTGGGATTTATGAGTGCAAAGGGAAGCAAATTAAAGCCACAGAAAAAGAAAGAAAGAGAGAAAGAACATCTGCTCTGCTCAGCAGAGGGAAGTGACAGCTCACCGAGTCACCTCAGGAGTAAGGAACAGATGGAGGGAAGATGCCTCCCTTCTCCCCCACCCTGCTCCGGGGCATCTGCCCTTTCCCGAGGGTGAACGGAGGGTGTGTGGGGTGTGTGCGGGGGACAGTGGGATGCACTGGGGATGTACCGGTTTGTCTCTGGCTGCAGGGAGTCCCAGGACGGAGAGGAGTGCCTGGTGCGGGCAGGAGCCGCCCCCGGGCGCTGCGCCCCGCGCAGCTACGATGTGCTCACCTTCCGCAGCCGCCGCGGCCGCGTCCGCACCGTCACCGCCATCCGGCACTGCCAGTGCTGGGGGTAGCGGGGCTGGAGTGCAGCTGGGGCTCCCGGAGACCCCACCAGACTGTCTGTAGGATATGTAAATGAGAGAAGGCTATTTTTTTTTTTTTTTTTTGAATAAAAGCTATTTTAACCAGCGGGTAGAAATGAGCCCTCTCCTAAATGTTTTGCAGCTTGTAAAATAAACATCATGGGCAATTCACAGCTCCTTGGGGTTCTGCTGTGCAGCTCCACGGCCGCTCCGCATCCCAGCAGCCCGGGAGGATGCGGCCGTCTGGCACGGACTGGGAGCGGCTGGTCCCGGTTACAAACTGGGGAGCAGGAGCCAGGAGAGGGGACCAGGAGCTGTCCCCTCTGCAGACACCCCCAGGTATCCTGAGCTATGCCGCTGGTGAGCTGGGAAGAGGAAGCAAAGGATTCTGAGCAGGAGTTGCCTCTATCTATTAACTCCAGCCTGTAGTTGCCTCTCTGCCTGTTCTGCATAATTAACAGCCCTTTGGGTTGGAATAAACTGTAGGCACCACCTGGGATTAGCCTTTACCTTGTCTCTCATGGTGTGGTCCTGGCAGTGCTTCAGCCAGGTGCTGAATTAGTTAATTAATGCTAATTATTTTCTGTTCGGCAGCTGGACAATGTGTCATGTGCACCCGCACCACCCTGTTCCTCTGTGACTGGGGAACAAGAACTTAAAGAACTGGCCTTTATGCCCGGAGTCCACTGGGCTCTCATGATATTTCCTTAATTTCAAGCACTCAGGAATTAACAGCAAACGCCTTTTAATCCCCAGGAAGCCAATTGT